GTCATATCATATAGACACTTTTCAGTACCCATCACTTTAATGAATGAAAAACATATTGTTTATAAACAATACAATGATTAAAATAGAAGATTTAACAACACAAGATTATAAAAAAGGGCCATTGAATAAATGCATCCATATTAGAAATGAAATAAAAGCAAAGGGAGAGTTGTTAGAGAACATGACTTCCTTAACAACAACTGCCCTACAGAGTTTAGGCAAAATGTGAACTGCTTTTGCCAGACGTAATCACTATCCAATAATTTATATATAGCACGTATATGATGGGCCACCAGCGACCAGCGGTAAAAGTCGCTGAACATTGGTAGCTCTGGTTCGGGTTCTTGTTTCGGTGAACAGGCTGGCTGCATGAGTGTTTTCGTGGCATTTCCCATGTGTAATGTAGATACGAGCCAGTTTCCCTTGAAAAGTCGTCACGGGATATTCCTTGATTTCCGTATAGTGTTTAATGTCAGAGCACGTAATAAATTTAAAAAACGCGTACACGACGTGCAAGGGAAATATTGTCAACAAAATGAAACGCAGAATTAAACTCTCATTAACGAAAAATACTACGCCCCACTGTCTATACGGTGCAATCTTGATGGTATTTAGACCGATGCCTCCGAAATCTAATTATAAACTGTGATATCCAAAAATCCGCTGAACGGTAAGTGGTGTCTCCAACGGCTTTAAATGGAGGAAACTTTCATTGAGCAAGATATCTATCTTTATATAAATGTCTTTCCAGAGCGAGCTGCGGTACTGTGCATCTTGAGGTTATCGATAATCGTTTTGTAATATTACCTCTAACCAGGGCTGTTTCTAAGCCATTGGCTGCCCGTGTACTTTCCTAGGACTGCCGCCTATTAAATTAAAAAAAAATGCTCAATGATTAATAAAACTTTTATTTCATACTAAGTACTAACATATGACAAATTTTATAAAAAGTACTTACTATGAATTTAAAATATTTAGTCGTGGCGTACAGACGTTAGGTACTATTTGAAAGCGGGACTCATGAAAAATGAGCAACGCCTTCACCGGGAATCGAACTACGGATCGCTGGATTACGCGCCCATTGTGCAGATCACCACCCTACCTTACCCTACCATCAACATCCTTTTCGAGAGGACTTTCAGCTCATCGCGTATTTAGAGTGCCCCCATGCCGCATAGACATTATGTAGAGACATTAGGTATTTTTTGGAAGCAGGAGAGATGAAAAATGAAATGCCCTCTCCGGAACTCGAACCACAGACCTCTGGAATACGCATCGAGCGTGTTGACCACTACACCACGAAGGCATGCTAAGAAGGCAGGAGAAATACCTTATATACTCATTCCTTTAAAGGGCGACTGGGGTTCAGGGGATCGCCAAATCCTGGGTGCGGAGAATCATTTATCCACCCCCCTTTTTAGTTCGGGCGCCAAAGTAGAGACATTAGGTAATTTTTGGAAGCTTAAGTCATGAAAAATGAGCAACGCCTTCGCCGGGAATCACGGACCTCTGGAATACGCGCTCAGAGTGCAGACCACCACACTACGAAGGCATGCTAAGAAGGGGGAGAAATACCTTATAGTGGTATCGGGAAAATCCGGCCGCCCTTGATTTTACGTGCTGCACTCCCGCTAGGAACGGCCCTGCCTCTAAGCTGCTGTCGACCTATTGGGATCTCGTATAATTCATCAACCTTTGGTAACGTTTTCATCTTGAAAACGCTCCCCCACTTAGGTTTCTTGCAGTCGTTCTAAAGACCGTCTAGTAGTTCTTAAGGAGTATCAGGAACCCCTATACCGACAATGTTAAATTGGCCATTTTTGATGTACCTTTTCTCAAAATCTGCTGTAGATACAAGCTTGAATTTTTTTCTGTAATTAAAGTATACCTATTTGATTGAGCTTTTGAAACATTTTGAATTTTAGAGTAAATTACAGGATATTTTGTTAGGCATAGTAAAATTTAGCACTTTTCTCACACAAAAAAGTAAAAAAAAATTTTTTTCTAAGTTTATTACAAAAAGCTTATTTCAGTAAATATTTGGGAACCTAATAAATAAGCCATAAAAAGTTTAGTTACCTGTGAGCAGTAGTTCCGGGGAAAAGGTACATCGAGTATTAAATCACGTTTGAAGAAAAGCGCATTTTTATGTAAAAATCCTCATTGATCAAAACAGTAGATGACAAATTAAAACTAGATTTTTTTACAGTTCTAATTTTCACAGATATTAAAGAACGGTATTTTTAGAAAGATAAAAGTGTAGAGAATTTGAAAATGCAAAAATCTGAAATCACAATTTTTGAAGATTTTGGGGTTCCAACTCCCCTTGAGATTATGCTGTTAGTAATACTGAACTCTTCGGCTATACCACTGACAATTCGCCCTGCTTCTAGATTATCAATGATCTGACAAAGAGAAAAGTTATCCAAGTGTACTCTTATAGATATTTTCTCCTCTGCAACATAGCAACAATTCTATTGGACGTCTTGAGGCGACACACAGAGCCTTTCCGATTCCAACTTTTGCTCAGGAAATCTACTTTCAGCCTTCGTCACATGATATGTCTTTCTTACGTACTTTTGTCACATGGCGCACCTAATCATTTGTCGAAAATCTGCTCAAAAATTGTTTTTCAGCCACTCAATTTTAGATTTGCACTTCGCTGCAAAATTCTCTGTGCTATGTGTCAGGTGTCGTCGCATGCAGTGGCAGTGTTTTTTGCACATCAGAACACAGTTTATAACATTCTTTCTTCTATGCTTGATATACTAGTTAATTGTCTCACTTTCATTTAAACTTTGTATTTAAATATTTTTAAACTTTAAACTGCTTTTGTGAAACCTCCTCATTTAAAAATATTTCAGTTTTTAAGAAATATTTGCATTAATAATTACAGTCCTCAGAAAAATTCCTTCGAAACGTTTCGGGGTTCTTATGATACTACAGACGATGTTTACATATTTTTCGAACAATTTCATTAAAGAATTTAAAAATCAAGCAACTGTTTTTGAATAAATATTTCTAGAAATAGCTTATTATTTGAAATGATTAATGTCTTTGCTACTTTTAAACTTATTATTTATTTTTTTTTATCAAAGCGTCACATGCTGGAGATTGAAGTATATGTTTTTTCGCTTTCCGAAGAGAAATATCCTTAATCAGTGATTCAAAGACGTTGTAAAATACATGGCATTAAAATTTATAATTTAAAAATGACCAACATTATTAATCGGAAAAGAATTCGTAATTTTATTCTTTTAATTATCTTTGCAGAAGTTTTGGTGCCTTACGTTCCCTACCGCTTAACGTTCTGTAGAAGAGTTTTCTGATTTAGTTTTTGTTATTTATTTAACCTTTTAAAACTGACTTTTATTCTACTAAAATCAAAAATTGACATAAACGTGATTATGCACCTGTGGCGGTGTTTCTAACAGCTTTTTCTGATATTTAAAGCTTTGAAGCTGAAAAAATAGTTGTTTTATATGTTTTTCACCATTGGCCTTTTGTTTGCCAGTAAAAAATGTTTATTTGTTTGTTCTTACCTTTGTCTATTCGCTGTTATCTTTTAAATTTCGTTTTCCTTATTGTCCTGATTAAATTTTATTGCATTATATAGATAAAGTATCGCGTATTTTACCTAGTTATTGTATAATTTTATTAATGCATTTATCTAAATTTAATTATACCTATATCTACCTATATTAGTTTATTTTTAGTATCATATGCTTCTGCGTTATGATCTTCTATGTTATATGCCATAAAATTTAACGCTATCTAACTATAATAAGGAAATTGCTAAGCAAGCAATAATTAACGGAAATTGCTAACCAAGTAAACTTTTTTATTGCTTAATTAAGTCCTTAGCTATGCCCATATTTAAGAAAAAATGAAAATATATGCCAGAGAAATGTAGTTTTGAATGAAAATCATAGTCTTATCATCCCGCCACACTGATAAAACTAGGCTTTAATTAATAATAAATGAATTACTACTTCTTTTGATAAATTGTACATTTGCTGAGAGTTATCTTATCAGAGACTTGGAAATATGAGATAATGAAACACTACCTATAACAATCTGAGAAATCGAAGCATTTAAATTGAAAATGATAAAAATAAAAATCCCCCCCCCAAAAAAAAGAGCATTATGGATTTTAAATTGTTTCAGAAAAAATGCTGTAAATTTGAGCGAACATGATCGAAAATATCATTATTTTAATATTAAGTTCTTAAAATTTTGAAATAGAGTTTGGATCAAGTTCTCATGTTATTTAATGAACAATTCTTGAAACGTTAAAATGAAAAGTATATAATAATGGTATACAAAATCATTTTAGGTGACATTTTTAAATGCTAAGTGCATTTTACTTTTCAAGCACATTTTAATTTATTCAAAGAATCTTAAGTTTTATATGCAGAATAATTTTTATTGCATTTCACTTGTAATTAAAGTATAGCACTTTGCCTTCTTCGGTTCTTTTTAATCAGAAAGATTATTGTTACTAGATACATTTGAAACAAGTTCTTTTAATTATCTTAATTTCTCACAATTTATTTCTGCTTGCGCATAATAATAATTAAACGAAACAAAACAAAACAATAATATAATATTTCATGTCTCAAGTAACTACCATTATCTAGGAAAGGTTATTCAATAAATTGTATCTAGGAGTAAATTTAATATTTAATGTCGTCAGAGGTGACGCAAAACAGCAATTATTTTCCAGGCACCGTATCAAGTTTTCTTAATCTACTTTCATTTTTCCACGGAATTGCTTAATTTAATGAATGGTATTACTCTATTCAGTTTATTCTATGCCTTTGTAAACGAAAACAGTCTCATTTCCCCTTCGATGCGATTTTAAATAATCGATATCTCCTTGTAAAGAAATAATATACCGAAACTAACTGCTAACTGAGAGTCGCATCTTTCATCCTGATCCGTCTCCACCAGTCCCGGATGTAGGATGCTACCCAGTGGGACCAATAGAATGTCAGGGTTCGGATGTGAGGCGTGTTCTCTGGGATGGTCTGCGATGGTGACTCCCAGCTGGAAGGCACCTTAACTTTAGCAGTCGCGCTCTGAGGCATCCCTAGCGCTTTCGTTCCATTCAGCCCGGGGAGGAATAATATTGTTTCTTATTTGCCTACTGTGCAAAGGATGTTTACTTTTTTAAAGGCAGATCGCGTTTGACTGATGATGTGGTAAGCAAGGATTTATGTGCAGCTAAAGACGCTTTGCAGTTAAACAGCTTAAGGGAAATTTTGTAAGAAGAAAAATAGTGAATTTTAATTCATATTTGTCTTTTGTTAGACTTGCGATTATGTGTGGTCTATGTACTATTTTAATGGTTTATTTACCTGAGATAATTATGTTTGAGGTCAGAGAAAATATTAGGTTTCTTATAAATTAAAAAAATTTTTATTAATAGTAAAAATAAATAATAGAAAAACACTTAATAAATTCATTGAAAAGTGGATGAAAAACTGTTCATTTACTCTCTTGATATATTCCTTAGCATATAAAATTAGACATTATCTCAAAAACTGAAGTTGTGCTTAGAAGGTATTGTATATGTGAAAACTATTTTAGCTAACAGTAGTTTAGTTTCTCAGTTCAACAGTCTTGTTGTCGTAGAATATTAAATTCAGGATCTCTTAACGCTCATCAAAATATTTATCGATATGTGTTAGAAAATTTAAAGAATTCTCAAGGGACTATAATGAATAGCATAAATGTTTGAGAATTGATATAAAGAAAGAAAAAAAAAAAAAGCAACATAATTTCTGATTAATTAATTTTGAAATTTTACTGAACTGAAAGATCAAACTTTTCTTTTAACTTACAATTCAAAGAAGTTACAAAAGTTATCCTTTAAGATCACGATGAAAATAACTTTAGTAGCCTTCCGGCAAAAATTTTCTTACTGTACAAAGTAGAGTAATGCTTTAAAATTGTTAATCACCGTTCCACTAGTAAAGCAATTAAAGATCAACGTGTTCTAATACGCCATATATGCTTCATGGAATCCTCTGCAGGCTTCAGACCGATAATGAACTCCAGTTTTAGCTACGCTTTGCCAAGCCACCTGTTTCCTCCACCTCCTTCGCTGACCATGAGAGACCGCTCTTGTTCTCTGCCACACCAGATGCTGCCAGACTTCACCGGACCTTTCCATCTAGGAGCGTATCATGAAGTTCCAGGGCTTCCCTGTAGGACACCATCGCCTCCTTCTGTTATGGGAATTATCGGCAATTCACCTTCGTCTCCAAGTGATACTGGTAATACTGATGGACAAGACACAGCAGATGAGCATCCTCCAGCTAGCACTGATGATGAATGTTCTTCAAGAGATGTTAACGGACATTCGGGTAAGTTTTATTTTGATAATAAGATTTATTGCATCCATTATAATGGTCTAAAACAATGCTTCCAAAGACTTCTTTTATAGCTGAATCTTGCTGCGTTAAACAAAAGAATACAAAGTCTTAAATGATTACATTTAAAATTTATAGGGATAATAATAAAAAATGAAGAATTTTAAATTGTGAAATTTAATTAAAAATTTAAATTAACTTGAATTAAATCATTTGGCATTTATTTTACTGTAAAGAACACGTTATGTAAAAGAAAGTGCAACAGTTAAGCAAGGAATGAAAAGTTTTTTATGAAGCAAGAGTTTTATGAATTTTCTTTTTTCTTAAAAATTGATTTTTAAAACTGATATAAATTCCATTCGAATAAGAATGGTAACATTTAATTATTTTGGATCTTAATTTTATGGATGTAAATGAGGGGAATTCACGTTTCGTGTAAATATGTGCTGTGACATGCAGCAAAGCAAGATTCGTTTTTTAAATAGGTTAATGATTTAAATAATGTAAGATGAGAGTGAACAGCTCCGCTCAACGGTGGCCGAGCTGCAAAGTCACTGAATACTAGTAGTTCGACCTGAGGTTAAATCCGAGGCGAACGGGCTGGCTGCATGCTCGCTTTGGTGGTTTTCCCCACATTTAACGTTAATATGAGTAAATTTCTCTTAAAAAATCTTCACTGAAAGCATCTCTCTCCTCAGAAAGACCTCGCGTACTTTGCCATAAGCAAATAAACCAAGCAACCAACTTTTGTCGTTGCAATTATTGAGACTAGCTGCAGATGTTCAATGGACTTATTCACTTGGCGAAGATAGGCCAAATAGGGAGTGGATATTAATGAGTTTAGAATTTACACTTTAAAATGTGAAATTTTCATGCTTTAACTCTTAATTCTGTCTTTTCCGTTGGATAGATTAGAAATGCGTGAGGTATCGTAATTAATTATTGAGGGAAAATATGTCTAAACAGCTGTTTTCCAATGATGACAATGAACTCCAAATTAATTGGGAAATCTTTGAGATTATAGCGTGTTAGATTTGGAAAGATTTTAAGTTCCTTTTGACTGAACAAGTGAAAGTGAATAGGATCATCAAAATATAGATGGCAGAATCATGCCCAAGTAGCACATGACGTAGCAAAGACGTTATTACGACAACTTTGCAACCTCTCGGACCAGTTTGCAACGTCTTTGCTACGTCATATGCTACTTGGGTAATAATCTGTTTGTTATTTACATTACTATGAAAAAAAAAAGCGATTCAGGCATAATTCATTCACTTTGGTAGAGATTTGTGTTGCTCTAAACGTAAGGAGTTGTATATTTCATCAAGGCAGAACAAGCGTTAATTTTACAGTAGATTCCTTCTATGAGAGTCATGAGTTTCGACTGAATAGACTATTGGAATTAGAAAAATCTAGAAGGTATTTCCAGTTTCTGTGCTAATCATTCACCGCACCATCATACTTTTTTCACAAATCTATTCATTACTATCAGTTCAGAGATTTTCTATTATGAGCATTTTTAATGGTTTCAAAATTGCTCTAATAGTTAGCTCACTAATTATATTTACTCTTTCAAATTAGCATATTAAAAGAAGAACTTAAAGGAGAAATAAACGCGTGAAGCAATTACGACAAAAAAGTATAGAAAGCAACCACAAACTGAAGCTTAAGCTTACGAGCTTCCAAAATTCCAACTAATAATTTTCTTATTTTAATTAATGTTTTTCCTTGACGAAATAATACATTATCGTAATTCAACGAAAAAATATTCTTGATGAAATCATGGCAGGCTAAAGATGAAGTCGTTTAAATGAAGGCGGGATTAGAAGTGTACTATATGTCATTTATTTAAAATCAGCATGATCCCGTTTTATTCACATAGTTCAAAATTAGCACATTATTATATATATTCATTGTACTTCTTTCTAACTCTTTAAGTACAATATTACTGCGAGGCTTGAAGTTATAAATTTCTGTTTAGCAGCGAAATAATCGACTGAAGTTCTTATCTTGGATGCCTTATGATTCTGGTGAAATTTACTCTGCCAATAAATACTTTTATTCTTATCCCTAACAACTGAAAAAATTTGATGCAAATTTATCTATTCATCTTGTGATTATATATTAGGTTATTTTGTTTCCCACTTTCTCTCCAGCAGCGCTTATTAAACATTTTTTATTCATGACCTCTTCTTATCATCTAGAACTTTTCACAAGCACGGGTATTAAATAAAAAATAAAGAGATAGAAGTAAAAATTTTTCTATAAATAGTTTATTTCTTTGATAAACAATACATAAAAAGTGTTTATACAATTTTAGAACGAGTCTGGAGCATTTTATTTAATTTTTAAAATGTAAAGAGTATTTTTTAAATGTTCGATCTGAAAGCGTTTTTTCAAGACTATAGGCATGCATCATTTCCATGATAGAAGGTCCTTTCATAAAATTTCAAGGAATAATGATTGCCATGTCTCTTCCACTGCTTTCTAGAGTCCAACTGCCGTGGTGGGCTTGTGCTTAGAAAGAGCTCTTGTCAAGAAATCAGAGGCACACTATTTCACAGGTGAAATGTCAGAGGATTTCGCAATACATTGAAAAGGTGTATATACAATGCCTAATTTTCCTTTTTTAAAGAAATGCAGTGATACTTTTCGAAGTATAACTTGTTGCTTTGTCTTAGTAGAATTCCACTCTTTAAATGTTAGTGGAAATGGAATTCCTTCTGTAAATACCGGACGTAAAACTCTTTCACTTGTCAAGTACGTTGGGTTGATTTTAATATTTTTTCCATTCTTTTTTAAATTTCCCACTGTAAGAGAATCATGTGACAATCATAAACCCCTTACGAGAACTTTCTTTACATTAACGGAAATAAGTTTGTACAGTTTTTTCTATTCGTTTTCGATAATAAATAGACATTTTTCTGTAGCAGCCATTAGGTAAACAAATGCTTCATTAAGGGTCACAATTCATTTCTATTTATCTCCTATCGTTCTATAAAATGCTCTGCGTTGAGCCAGATGCCTCGGCAAAAGCTGGTGAAGATTACGTCTTTTAGCTTTTTAAAAACGTAAATCTTGATTTATTTTAGTTTATTTATTGTTGCTACAGATGTATTTAAACGCTTTGCGACTGATTTCGGCGTTGCCTAATTTTCTGTTATTATTAAAGATTTAACTTTAGAAACATTAGAAACACTACTTAGTACCTGTTTTGGGGATTAGTTTGGAGTCTACTTTCTGTGTAGAAGTATTGATTGAAGGTTTTCACAGTCCGATTAATAATGTTGCTAATTTTGCCATTCTAATGTTTTCCTGATTTTAATACCACACATTTCACAACATTTTAAAATCATTTCTAGTAATATTCCTCTGCGGAAAGAGCAAAAATATATCTTTCAAGCCATAGTTTGTTTACGTGCGACGTTTGAATAAAGAATAAATTTAAAAGTAGTAAACGATATTTCTTATTTCAAATAATAAGCTGTTGCCAGAAAGCTTTACTCCAAAACCTTTTTTTTTCTTTTTCTAAACCATTCAAAAATGTGTACACACTCTCTGTATACATGAAAATAAGTAGTGCTACGATTCATTATGAGTGAACAAAAATTAATGCCAAATTAATCGCGTTAGTTAATCAATAATAAACCACGTCTTTAATAAGATGGCTGTGCTTGTCTTTATGCTGCTTAACAAATAAAATCTTGGTGCTGATTTTCAACGTTGAATGAAATTTGGATTTAATAAGCGTTAAAGCTGTAAAGTGTCGCTTCACATTATTTATGTCGCGCTGAATGGCAGAATAACATTTAATGGCATTTCAAAAACTGTGAGATATTTAGTTCTAACTCTAATGCAGATTTGAGTCTACGATTTTTTTGGAAATTTAAGTTTTGAGTCACTCAGTAGCTCAAATTCCTTTTGGGATTTATATGGCAGATGATAATTTCATTAATGTCAATGTAATTTCTTTATACTTGGGTAGCTGAATTGAATTTTCTCAGATTCACAGCACCATTTGTGGTCGTGACCCATAGTTTAAAAAGTGCTAGTCTACACCAATGTTTTGTTATAATTTGATATTTTCTTTATCAATTTGCTGATATTATTGAACGAAACTAAAACTGTTTTACTGATTACACTGCAGAAACAATGAAAACTATTTCGTGGATTGACTTATTAACGCAAAACACGCTAAGGCTTTAGAAAGTAGGTGTATCAGGTTCACTAATAAGTTCCGTTGTAACAACATCACATCTCTACTAAGGTTTTCAATGAATGAAAAGATGTAACCAGGCTTAAAATATCCTCGATTCTCCAGCTCGATAGAGACAGAAAAAAAAAATACAAATGGAACATTCTTATGTACATTTCTTTCTAGAACCCCTCATTCCAAGAAAATCGACGAAGAAACTAAAATTTGCTTGAACATATTGAAACCCAGCTTTAAAAATGAAGACTCGAGGCACTTGAGAAAGGGCTTTGATACGATAGAAAAGATCTCACAGGGGAGCCTAGTAGTCGTCTACACCGACAATTCCTCAGATAAATCCCTCAACAGAGGAGGCGCTCGCATTCTCTTTCTCCTTTCGTATGGTAATTTACATATACACAAAATTAATACAGGTATGATTGCCTCTAACTTCACCAGTAAGCTTATAGCAATTAGAAAGGCCCTTCCTTTATATCTGGCTGGCTCCCAAGCTATGGAGTTCACTTAGGGTTTAGTTGTCTTTTCAAAATCTAAATCGGCCTTGGAAGCTATCAGAAACGGAGAGACTAACATTACCTTTATTAGCTATTAATTTCCTACTAGAAATTAGCTATTAATTTCCTACTAGAGTGACTGCACAGCAGAAAAAATTCCTGTATGTTACAGTGGATTCCTGTGTGCTGAAATCTGCATATGTAACATTGAGTGAAATGAGTGGGCTGATTCTTTGGCTAAAGAAGAGCCAGAGAACTTGAACAATCCAATATCTTCATCACACTCA